CATGCACTGTGGGGGTTGAACAGGTGACATGTATCTGACACAGTGTACTGTGGGGGTTGAACAGGTGACATGTATCTGACACCATGCACTGTTGGGGTTGAACAGGTGACATGTATCTGACATGATGCACTGTGGGGGTTGAACAGGTGACATGTATCTGACACCATGCACTGTGGGGGTTGAACAGGTGACATGTATCTGACACCATGTACTGTGGGGGTTGAACAGGTGACATGTATCTGACACCATGTACTGTGGGGGTTGAACCAGTGACATGTATCTGACATGATGCACTGTGGGGGTGAACAGGTGACATGTATCTGACACCATGTACTGTGGGGTTGAACAGGTGACATGTATCTGACACCATGTACTGTGGGGAGTTGAACAGGTGACATGTATCTGACACCATGCACTGTGGGGGTTGAACAGGTGACATGTATCTGACATGATGCACTGTGGGGTTGAACAGGTGACATGTATCTGACACCATGTACTGTGGGGGGGTTGAACAGGTGACATGTATCTGACACCATGTACTGTGGGGGTGAACAGGTGACATGTATCTGACACCATGTACTGTGGGGAACAGTTGAACCCAGTACTGACATGACATGTATCTGACACCATGTACTGTGGGGGGTAGAACAGGTGACATGTATCTGACATCATGCACTGTGGGGGTTGAACAGGTGACATGTATCTGACATCATGCACTATGTTGGATGAACAGGTGACATGTATCTGACACCATGTACTGTGGGGTTAAACAGGTGACATGTATCTGACACCATGTACTGTGGGGTAGAACCGGTGACATGTATCTGACACCATGTACTGTGGGGTAGAACAGGTGACATGTATCTGACACCATGCACTGTGGGGTTGAACCGGTGACATGTATCTGACACCATGTACTGTGGGGTAGAACAGGTGACATGTATCTGACATCATGTACTGTGAGGGTTGAACAGGTGACATGTATCTGACATCATGCACTGTGGGGGTTGAACAGGTGACATGTATCTGACATCATGCACTATGTTGGATGAACAGGTGACATGTATCTGACATCATGCACTGTGGGGGTTGAACAGGTGACATGTATCTGACACCGTGTACTGTGGGGGTTGAACAGGTGACATGTATCTGACACCATGCACTGTGGGGGTTGAACAGGTGACATGTATCTGACATCATGCACTGTGGGGGTTGAACAGGTGACATGTATCTGACACCATGTACTGTGGGGGTTGAACAGGTGACATGTATCTGACACCATGTACTGTGGGGGTTGAACAGGTGACATGTATCTGATGTACTGATGGTCTGTATACATGTACTGACACCATGACTGGTCTGTATATGTACTGATGGTCTGTATATGTACTGATTGTCTGTATATGTACTGATTGGTCTGTATATGTACTGATGGTCTGTATATGTACTGATGGTCTGTATATGTACTGATGGTCTGTATATGTACTGATATGTCTGTATATGTACTGATGGTCTGTATATGTACTGATGGTCTGTATATGTACTGATGGTCTGTATATGTACTGATGCTGTATATGTACTGATGGTCTGTATATGTACTGATGGTCTGTATATGTACTGATGGTCTGTATATGTACTGATGGTCTGTATATGTACTGATGGTCTGATATGTCTGTATATGTACTGATTGTCTGTCTGTATATGTACTGATGGTCTGTATATGTACTACTGATTGTCTGTATATGTACTGATGGTCTATATGTATATGTACTGATGGTCTGTATATGTATGGTCTGTGATGATTCTGTATATGTACTGATGTACTGATTGTCTGTATATGTACTGATTGTCTGTATATGTACTGATTGGTCTGTATATGTACTGATATATGTACTGATTGTCTGTATATGTACTGATGGTCTGATATGTCTGTATGATGTACTGATGGTCTGTATATGTACTGATGGTCTGTATATGTACTGATGGTCTGTATATGTACTGATTGTCTGTATATGTACTGATTGTCTGTATATGTACTGATGGTCTGTATATGTACTGATGGTCTGTATATGTACTGATTGTATATGTACTGATTGTCTGTATGTGATGGTCTGTATATGTACTGATGGTCTGTATATGTACTGATGGTCTGTATATGTACTGATGGTCTGTATATGTACTGATGGTCTGTATATGTACTGATGGTCTGTATATGTACTGATGGTCTGTATATGTACTGATGGTCTGTATGTACTGATGGTCTGTATATGTACTGATGGTCTGTATATGTACTGATGGTCTGTATATGTACTGATGGTCTGTATATGTACTGATGGTCTGTATATGTACTGATGGTCTGTATATGTACTGATGGTCTGTATATGTACTGTCTGTATATGTACTGATGGTCTGTATATGTACTGATGGTCTGTATATGTACTGATTGTCTGTATATGTACTGATTGTCTGTATATGTACTGATTGTCTGTATATGTACTGATGGTCTGTACTCTGTATATGTACTGATGTCTGTATATGTACTGATTGTCTGTCTGTATATGTACTATGTACTGATTGTCTGTATATGTACTGATTGTCTGTATATGTACTGAAGGCCTGTATATGTACTGATTGTCTGTATATGTACTGATGGTCTGTATATGTACTGATTGTCTGTATATGTACTGATTGTCTGTATATGTACTGATTGTCTGTATATGTACTGATTGTCTGTATATGTACTGATGGTCTGTATATGTACTGATTGTCTGTATATGTACTGATGGTCTGTATATGTACTGATCTGTATATGTACTGTATATGTACTGATTGTCTGTATATGTACTGATTGTCTGTATATGTACTGATTGTCTGTATATGTACTGATGATGGTCTGTATATGTACTGATGATATGTCTGTATATGTACTGATTCTGGTCTGTATATGTACTGATTGTCTGTATATGTACTACTGATGGTCTGTATATGTACTGTATATGTATGGTCTGTATGTATGTACTGATGGTCTGTATATGTACTGAAGGTCTGTATATGTACTGATGGTCTGTATATGTACTGATGGTCTGTATATGTACTGATGGTCTGTATATGTACTGATGGTCTGTATATGTACTGATGGTCTGTATATGTACTGATGTACTGATGGTCTGTATATGTACTGATGGTCTGTATATGTACTGATTGTCTGTATATGTACTGATGGTCTGTATATGTACTGATGGTCTGTATATGTACTGATGGTCTGTATATGTACTGATGGTCTGTATATGTACTGATGGTCTGTATATGTACTGATTGTCTGTATATGTACTGATTGTCTGTATATGTACTGATTGTCTGTATATGTACTGAAGGTCTGTATATGTACTGAGGGTCTGTATATGTACTGAATATCGATTTTAGGAATATTCCAGCAACATCACGGCGGGGGACACCAGAAATGGGCTTCACACATTGTAGCCATGTGGGGATTCGAACCTGGGTTTTCGGCGTGACGAGCCAACGCTTTTACCACCAGGCTACCCCACCGCCCCTGAGGCCACTTGATGGGTCGGGCGGTGAGACTCGAGAGGTAATCTGTGGGACAAGTCAGAACCGTGGTATCCCAATCGATGCTCACAATATCAGCCATCAGATAACGTGATCACGGCTTGAGTACTAAGCATGTAGAGGCTGGCGTCATCATGACAAAACACAAAACTGTTTCATTACCAGAATCTAGAATTTATTACAAGAATCATTCATAAAATAGGTCTTTCTTCCTCTCATTGATAATTTATCATGGTTTAGACTGATGTCATAGAAGTCATAAATGCATAATATACCCAAAATCTGTATAATCGGTATATTCAAAATTGATAAATAATTGAAAATATGTTAAAATATTAAATCTGACGCGTAAAAGTTACTGAAAAAAGAAATTTTCGATCACGCCACATAATAATTAAAATAGTTTTTCTTCAAAATTTAAAATAATTATATTAACCAAAAGAAACCGGGCTAGTTCAGTAACAGCATGTCAAATACTGTGATTCACATAAAGAATTAGTGAAAGACTACCATTATGGTAGATTTTATAAGGTAATAAAACAAGGAAACTATCAAGTAATTAACAAGATAACCTTCATATCGGTAGGTACGTTATGTTGAAACGAGGCAGCAGGGAATAAAATCTAATGATTAACTTATTATGGCCTCTATTCAGTTGTATTTAATTTCATCTCTGGTTATGTGTTTCAGGAAATACCAGGGTTCATATGCAATAGGCGACCTTAGCGCTAAGACTACCCTGTCGTGTTCATACAACACGCTTACGATGGTCGTAGCGCTGAAGTCGTTTTCGCAAGCCCTGTTTCCTGCTCCTCATAACCGGTCACACCAAAATAATTTCACCTAGCAATGTTGTTTAATTGTACTTCATTCTGTCTCTGGTTGTATGTTTAAAGAAAGTCCAGGGTTCATATGCACAAAGCGACCTTAGCGCTACGACCCTATCGTGTCCATGCAACACGCTTACGATGGTCGTAGCGCTGAAGTCGTTTTCGCAAGCCCTGTTTCCAGCTACTGATAACCGATCCTATCTAGATAATCGCACCTGGCATTGTTTCGGTTAACGTCGCTGACAGGATCAGGCTCGGTAAATCTTATGTTTTTGGTAGCGCCATTTGCATTGCTACGGAATTCCACCCACAGAGGCAGATCTTTGGATCTCAGCCTGAACGGCGAATTTACTGGGAGATCCCGCCAGTGGGCATTGGGGGTTCCCCAATTAGCAAAACTAAGCCAATAGGTGATCAACTGCTCGGAAACCTTCTCATCAGCACGGGTCGTGTTGAAGCCGAGTCGGGCAGGTGCCCGGAACAGGAACGGTACATCAGCCTGGTGGCACACCCGATCCACACAGTCTAAGGAATCTCCCCAGAATTCCGGGAAAGGGACAGGTTGATCGAAAATGAACCACCACACTTTGGAATGTTCGCTCAGCTTCTGAGCCACGTATCTGGCTGAGCACAAAAAGAGCCTGTCGGACATGAAGCTGACCAGGTTCTCGCGGTTGTCGCCAGCGACAGGGGATACTGGGCATTGATGATCTGCGTGGAATTGTCAGGTTCGAAGTAACTCATGGCGGCCCTGTAACTCGCCTCGTCCACGGCGGTGGTGTAGTAATCGTAAATGCTTCCAACGGATTCTTCAGATGTGGAACCGATCAGTATTTCCTTGTTTATATTGGTCACGGTCTCGAACAGTTCCACGAGACTTCCTTTGATTTCATCGCCATCTATAACCGGGCCCCATGACTCCAGTGATAGGTAGGGGTTGTCTGATACGTAGATGGACGTCCCTTGCCAAGCAGTCAGCACCTCAGCTGATGTTTTGGACTTGTAGCACGAAATGTTCCCTTGTGTGCAGCCGAGATTTTGCGAGAAAAGATAGTCCTGATATGCTCCCTCTGCCGGATTTTTGAACGAAATCCCAAAGGGGCGCTGTGCATGATGGCCCTGGTGGAGAGATCGTCAGCTTTACCGGAAGTGAGATGGATTGCCACGGATTGAGCGCCTGAACTGTCTCCAAAGATCGTTACCTTTAAAAACAACATTACAAAATACCCGATGAAAACCTCCATTAAACTTCTGAAACGTTGTTCATTACACAGCGAAAACATCCATTACTAAATTCCTATCTGATGGTAGAACAAATGATTAGTAGTATGAATGGGTTATTTTATATATTTAACACCAACGTTAGAGGTGTTTGTTTGTTTGTGCGTCGTTTAACGCCACATTCAGCAATATTCCAGCTATATGGCGGCAGTCTGTCAATAATCGAGTCTGGACCAGACAATCCAGTGATCAACAGCATGAACATCGATCTACGCAATTGGGATACGATGACATGTGTTAACCAAGCCAGCGAGCCTGACCACCCGATCCCGTTAGTCGCCTCTTACGACAAGCATGGGTTACTGAAGATCCTGGGCCCCGTTTCTCAAAGCTCACGTAAGCCTAATTCTCGTAACTTTTCTCGTAGCATTCGTACCTCCTATGTTACAGTATAGGAGATTCGAATGCTACGAGAAAAGTTACGAGATCTTAGGCTTACGAGAGCTTTGTGAAACGAGGCCCAGTTCTAACACGGATCTTTAGGGGTCTCAACGTTAAAGAATAAACAGTCATGATCACCCGCCGGAATGGCATTACAAGCCAAAATAGAGGTGAAAATTTAAATGGATCACTGAAAACCCTGTGAATGTCTGAAAACACAGCAGGTATATCTACCGTCACATGCCGGTGGTCCAACTGAGTACACCCACCTGTGATGGATCCCCGCCGAAAGCGTTGATGTTGTCATGGACCCACTGTAATGCCATCCGTTGATCTTTGATGGCATAGTTACCAGCATAGACAGTTGTGCCGTCGCTCTGTGCCAGAAATCCAAATGGACCTGTTCATGCCAAGTGTGAAATGAAAATGATTAATTGGCTATAAAATGTTACCATTTTAACTATCTTTAAAATATTTTACTTCACAAGGATTCGTATACGCCTAGATGAGTCCAGCATCACTGATATAATGCCTACATATATACACAGGAGCATTAAACACCATCTGAATGCAAGGGCTATCATCAGAAAAATGGTCCAAACAGGCAATCATACACGAGCACGCTGGAATGCACATGTCAAGGTCCTGCTTCACACACTACCTCAACAGCGAGATATGTACTCGTGCTGTAGGATCCAAAAAGGGCAGGGCGACAGAATTTCAAGCGGCACCCTTATTCCAAAAGGGGCGTGCAATGACTGACTGACTGACTGAGTTTGGTTTTACGCCGCTTTTAGCAATATTCCAGCAACATCACGGTGGGGGACACCAGAAATGGGCTTCACACATTGTAACCAAGTGGGGATTCGAACCCGGGTCTTCGGCGTGACGAGCCAACGCTTTAACCACTAAGCTACCCCACCGCCCCGGGCGTGCAATGAGTGAGTGAGTGAGTGAGTATGGTTTTTCGCAGCTTTTAGCAATATTCCAGCAATATCAAGGCGTGGGACATCAGGATTGCTTGATGATGAGGACACTAGTAGATGCCTTCCGTACGAGGTAAGTTTACACCAGGTACCCATATGATCGCCAGTGGTGGTTCATACAAGCACAACACTCATTAACTGTGTGACAATCAGACAGGCTGCGTTGTCATAGTGACCATACTTCCCGGCATTGCTGATATTTTCGTATTTGTGTATTCCTCTCATATTGCAAATACATTATCACCAAATTCCAATTTCAGTTTTGCGTTATTTTTTTACCAGAGTAAAATATGATAAAATTGCCATTTTATTATGTGGAATTCAAGGTATATAGAACACCGAGTATAGATTTGGTACTCATGTGTATAGAAGGAGAATACGACACGTTACCCCCCTGTCGTCAACTCTGTAAAGTTCGTTGTTTACATGCAATCCCTAACGTGTTGTGGTGGTGTTGTGGTGGTGTTGTGGTGGTTAATGAGGTCTCTCACCTAGGCGATAATTCAGGCTGACGAAGATAACATCCCCTCTGGAGACGATGGTCTCGCCGTCAAACAGAACACTTCCTCCGCTGTAGTACTCGAAGTTACCGCCATGGATCCACAGCATCACGGGGAGACTGGCGGATATGGGCTTCAAAGGTCGGAAGACGTTTAGAGACAGACAGTCTTCAGACATCTGTTGATGAGAATTGCCAAGTTTGTTTAAAACATCAACCAGTTTGCTCGAAAGGAATAAATTAGGCACGATACATATATTCAAAGTTATCGGGCGACAGATCATATCAAATTCTGATTGACATTTTCAAGAGCGGAATAAAAAAATTCGGAGACAGTCAGAGGTCAACGGTTTCAACGATACAAAGAGACGAACTAACATTTCGCGAAACAGAAACGTCTTTGTGACGTTCCCCACCGAATTTGGAGTAAAACTTGCGCATTGCTTAGGCATCGAAGCAACAGTTCGGATTTACTATAAGACATGTACAGGAATGCTACAATGAACTTCTCCAAGTAGCACCATTGTCAAAACAGTCTATTAAGAATACCGTACTTCACAAAGCTAAACTACCATTGTGCAGGGTCGGTAGGGTAGTCGAGTGGTTAAAGCTTTCGCTCGTCACGCAGAAGACACAAGTTCCATTCCAAACATTGGTACAATTTGTGAAGACCATTTCTGGTGCCCCCCGCCGTGATATTGCTGGAATATTGCTAAAAACGGCGTAAAACTGAACTCACTCACTCACCGATACGTTACTATAGCCTCATTCTGAGCCGGAATCGCCGCCAGCGCTCCAAGAAACCCTCCAATCAAATAACAACAATGAGCAAGTGAAAACATTTCCTAAGATAGCGATAAGAAAGATGGGAATTGTGACGTTACCTCCAAAAGCTTTTTTGCAAATGAATCAACAGTATTCATCAAAATGGAACGGAAATTAATGCATTGGATTTCCAACGATGCCAACGCCACCTACCTCAGTTTGGCAGATGAATTTGGCGTCTTGGGGGCAGTATTGGTAGCAGGCTGGTTTGATCGCGGTGGCGTCCAGGACCCCAGTCCATGTAGAGGGGGACAGGGTTGCCGAACCTGGAACATGTCACGTGACCTTGTACCCTCGGCTACCGGTCTTACAACAGTTGCTATTAAACATCTACCGTATTTTCATTGTTTCTTTTCACACAAACTACGTATGAAAAGTTATAAAAGAAGTGCACAGATCTACAAATCGCCTTGTCGTAACATTTTCGCAATAAAACACGACAGTCGGTTTACAGGTTTTACAGTTATATTGACTGGCGTTATTTACAATCAGCAACATGGAGGACACCGGCGTTAAAGACGTTGTGTTATACTGTGGCGGGCGATGGTTAAAGCGTTCGCTCGTCACGCTGAAGACCCGGGTTCGATTCCCCACATGGGTACAATGTGTGAAGCCCATCTCAAGTGTCCCCCCGCCGTGATATTGCTGGAATATTGCTACAATTGGCGCAAGACTAAACTCACTCACTCACTGTAATGTGACAAGGCTAACGCCTAGTCTCTGAATACACACACACACACACACACACACACATACATACACACACATATATATATATATATATATATGATATATATATATGATTTTGACAGAAACAAATAATTCTTTATAAATTAAAAAGGAGCCCCAGTGAGGTGGGAGATACAGCAGGAAATCTAGACTTGCTTCATTTAGAGCTTTAGCATTGCAGAAATGGCTGGACGGGAGGGAAAATAATGCGGTTCAAGGCCTGTACAAGACTTAACCGTGGCCAGCAGACATGTCAGAATAACATGGAAGGAAGGAATCGCTGATGAAGTTCCTTTGCTATATAGAAGCATAACCTGGTTCTACCGATGTGACAAACGTGTACGGCCTTCGGGCCTTCCTCCCACATTAAGCAGACACGCCGTGATGCAATTAAGTACTTACCATGCACTAACCACTAAACTCTCTTTACCCACCCCCTTTTGTGTCTCACCATCTCTCTTTCTCCCTCCCTCACCATCTCTCTTCCTCCCTCCCTCACCATCTCTCCCCACACACCCCTCCCTCTTCTCTCTCTCCGTCCTTTATCTGTGTCTCGCTGACTTTGTTGACACATCCAAATCGCGAAGACTGATGCTTATAATGTTGATCACTGGATTGTCTGGTCCAGACTCGATTATTTACAGAGCGCTGCCATATACATGTAGCTGGATTATTGCTGAGTGCGGCGTAAAACAACAAACATAAACCAAATCCTTCATCTGTCTTACCTCTCCGCAGTAGCATATTTTATACCAAGGAACTTCTCGCTGGCGCGTGTCCTCACCCCCTCCACGTCCCCCAATTTGGTGGTGACGACGACAGCATCGGCAAGACTACAGCTGTACTGCAGTATGAGCACAGACACGAGAGACGACAACGACCACATTGCAGTGATGGTATAAAGTGCTTAGTGACAAGCATGGGGGACGGTTCTTATATAGCCAGTTTCATTTTAATTAACTCGTTCTGAGAGTGGCACTTTGACAACGTAATAACATAGACATTGGATTATTGAACTTAAACGATTGTTACTTTGTAATATCAATTCATATGTATTAGATCTAAAATGATTTCGTGGTAATTAGAAGTATCAAACAACGCTCACATTGTTCAGTCCCTGTGATACACGAGAAAATGCAGCCAGGCGTAATAACTGCATGATGTGAGGTTGATGAACTGATGGTCCAGTAATGACCTATTAATACGAACATTACAATGACAAGTAGTAGGCCACATACAAATAGTTATTGATCTTGTTGGTCGATTAATAATATTATTGTTATTGTTGTTTCGATCATTATTATTGTTATAATCATCATCATTATTATTATAGTTCTTTGAATCTATTTTGATTTGATGACTGAGTGTGGTTTTACGCCGCTTTTAGCAATATTCCAGCAACATCACGGCGGGGAACACCAGAAATGGGCTTCACACATTGTACCCATGTGGGGAATCGAACCCGGGTCTTCGGCGTGACGAACCATCGCTTTAACCACTAGGCTACCCCACCGCCCCCAGACGGAAAACAATGACTGCAGTTATTCATGTACACCATTAGGAATGCTTGACTAAGAGACGAGTAACACTAAAATGTGTAACTTTGGAATAACTCTGAAAGTAAGAACTTACTATATTTTTCATGCGAAAATAGAACATAATCGGTTTAAGTTATGAGTCTGTGATGAAAAACACTATCTCTTTGTGTTTGTGTGTTGTTTAACTTCGCACTCAGCAATATTCTAGCTATATGGCGGCGGTCTGTAAATAATCCAGTCTGGACCAGAGAACTTATACACAGCTGCAGCTGTGCAAAAGGTATAGTAAAAATATTATAAAAACAGTTGAAAAAAACTCTGATTCAAAGAATAAGTAGCATGCGTTTTCGCATCGATTTATTTTACTTATACTACAAAACAAATGGTTTAATATGTCATATATGGAATGTGTGATCATAACAGGGGGCACTGCTGATTTGCTCAGAACTATGTGGAATATGGAAATATGTGAAAACACGATACCATTTAGAAAGTGGTCAAACGTAACATATTAGGTGGAAAGACCGATGGCTGAGTGGGTTAGAGCGCTGACTTTGTGTGTTTGCGATTAGGCGCCTGAGGGTTCGAATCCCGCATGGGATTCAACCTAACAAAGATACTATTATCTGTACTTTACTGGGAAAATGTAATCCTAAATATCCCAAATATAACACACATTACACGAGACGACCGAATACATCGGGCGGTAGATGCTCCGCCAACGTCATATGCGCCATGCAGAGGGAAACGGCATTGAATCACCGACCATCCTTTGTCTGGCAGAAGCTTTACCCACTAGACCACAGGCGTTAATAGCAAAATGACGTGTGACAGTGGGACTGAAATCAACATGTTAACCAACTCGGGAATAGAACTGGTCTCTGTTAAAACTACATGTCACCATCGACACATGCGACTTTTATTAAGATGGTCCTAGAATGTAAGATCAATGTGGCTGAAAGGGTCGTTGTCGGCACGGGTACTACAGATATGTACCCCAGGTACGTTTCTGTATCCAAAAATATACCCTAGCCACAATCAGAATACAGAAACGTACGTTAGGGCAAGTCCATTCCGCATCGAGTCGTTTTCTTGATCGGAACTGGCATACTATTGTATTAGATGTACACCTTTAGACTTTAGAGCTGTATACTCCTCAGGGAGTTGAGATTGATAATATGATGTGCCGTTGAGAATGACATCCAGTGATCGAGGGAGAAAAAAACCCAGCGCCTTGAGCATGCACTAGTTGCCTGGATATGTGCGCTATATAAATATCCTTTAATAATAATATAAATAATAATTTGATTGCGTTATATAAGAAACGAGCATACACAGTAACATTTATATTTAACGAAACACGAGGCCAGTCGCAATACGGTGAACTACACTCGGTTTCAGTTTTGGGTTGCGGAATATGAACTCGTCCCCCGTTTAGGGTACCGGGTAGGTTTCTGTAGTTTGATTTTGTTTAGGGTACATGTCTGTATACAGAAACGTACCTGGGAGACACACCAACAGGTGCATTTTTCGACCTCCCAGCGTTCAATGATTTCAGTTCGGTGAAACACCTGTAATAGAGTATATTTGTGTCACGGTCATTATTCTGTGATGTACATATAATCAGCTACATCAAATATATTTGGGGAGATACAAATCTTCTACGTGTAATGACCTGACCTTTTGTGGCTTTGATGTTGTGTGGATTATATTGGAATCATTAGGGTTATCTCAATCATCAAACTGCCCTCAACGCCATATGGGTTTCCCTGACTCCGATAGACAGGCAGTGTTAATGGCGCTCGAAATGGTATTGGTATTGATAAATGTGTATGGCTAAACGGATAACTGAACATGTTCTAGCGTCCGATCTCAAAGTCTCTGACGACACGTTGTCAAAGATATACGCCCATGATTACCTTTATTGAACAACTTGAACACCTGTCAACTCGATGACGTCATCAGCTGACCAACGTGTGCACATATATCATGAAGTCCAGAGGTCAGGGGGAAATGTTCTCGAGTGAATTTTTTTGGGGAGAGTGGGTGAGCAACCCCAATTCCACCCACCCCCGCTCTCCCATGGATCCGCCCCTGGTAATGTGATATGTTTGTACGAAATTGTCAAAGTGACTGACGCAAAATCACGCAGAACGACAACGGTAATTATTGGCATTTCTGGCTTCTTCTCTTACTTACAATGTAAACTACCGGTATAAATTACATGACAATACACATATAGTCAGAATCATCATAGAGAAAAATCCATTTTTGACATTAATTGAAAGTTATTTTTAGATATAGAGTGTATAACGTTATACATAATAACTCACAGGAATTTCATATATATGTATATTTATGACGTTCAGATATTGGGCAGTATTTTGTTCGCTCATACTTTCCGTTAAGATTATTATTATTATTATTATTTTTTACAGATTAAAGATGAAAATAAAGCAGAGAGGGTTCGGGTGATCCTGGCACAGTCAGGCTGGTAAGGCACATCATCAGCTCAGGGCCCTTGCCCCCTCTACACACAGCCCAGACAGCGAATGGGACTTCTCCCAGGGAACACTGCCTTCACATGCATCACCAGAGGATCATCCGATAAATAGATATGTGCAAAAGTACACAATAAAATTCTATCATGAAGAGCCTCTATTATTATTATTATTATAATAGGATATTTATATAGCGCACATATCCAGGCAACTAGTGTTTGCTCAAGGCGCTGGTATTTATTCTCCCTCGATCACTGGATGTCATTCTCAACGGCACATCATATTATCAATCTCAACTCCCTGAGGAGTATACAACTCTTGCAGCCACTAGGCGCACCGAGTTTTGTGGCTTTCTCATCCTAACGAGGTACCCATTCACAGCTGGGTGGAATGGGGCACATAGTCACAGTACTTTGTCCAAGTTCACTGCACGTTGCTGTACCCGCAACTAGGTGTTTGCACGTATTCATGTGGCCACCATCTGGTCATATATGAACGGATTCGTGGTTCTTTTAAGTGCACAGGGTTGTGTACTGTACACTAGGGGTTGTGACAACACTGAAAGAGTCTGCACACAAAGTTGACTCCAAGGTGTTTACACCTGGTCACAGGTGGGCTCGATCCCGACACCTCAACCTCGCTGGATCACTAGCCTGGCGCCTTAGCCAGCTCGCCCACCGCCAAATTGAAAAAAATAGTCGCACAGTGTCCGATAAAAAGCGGAGAAATGTACTGTTTTTCACGAATAACAAAACTTCGGACAACATTTAGCAGTGTCTAAATTTCAAAACGCCGAAGTAACACCATCGCATAGGAAATTTAATATTCTATATTTGTGTATAATTCTATATAGCTGTAGGTAGATCCAGGGTCGCGCGAGCGCAATTCACGCACAATGTTCACTTTTCAGATCTTATGAAAATGTGCGTCATAAGAAAACCGGGCATCCAAGGGCTTAAGCAAAATTCATCATTCGCGCAATCAAAATTCGCCATAGCGATTAACCGTTGGTTGACCCCACTAACGTCAAAAAACGAAGACGAGAGCTGGTGAGTGGGGCTTATCGGTCGGGACTGGATCGGTCCATTCAATAAGCAGCCTCCAAATAACGTCATCGATCGCTAAAGCAACACAGTTTTCATTTATACTATCAAAAGTGAATACAATCATTTGAATAAACACAATTAGCTAATTATTGATAGTGTATATGTGTTCTGATACGCATTACGGAAATTTAATTTCCGATCATTGTTGCAAATACTTACAGCTGCAACTTTGATGATGATTTTACAACTGAGTTCTACGCGTTATTTTGAATCTTTCTTATCTTTTTCCATGCATAGAATTAGAAGATATAGAGGATACTAAACGCCTTATAAGGTAATACCATTTTTATTAAATGAGTTAATGAATTGGTATCAAACTCGCTTTCAATATGGTAATCTTGTTTGATCCATGTTGCCCGAATGTTATGCGTTTTGAATTTTAAACAAATGTAGTTCAGTACGATTTTATTATTTAAACGCACGTTCTGTATGTGTAATGGCCAAAATGGGATTATTATTCTATTTTTATTTAGTTGTATCTTTATTAAAGGTCACATGCAACCCAAAAATCAAACATAATTGAAACACAATTATCACTTATTCATGACATATAATATACATTGCTGGTTATGAAAAAACATATAAACAAAATTATAAGCGTACAATCGCAAATCAAAAGTGCAATATTGTGTACTTGGGTTTACTTCCCAAGAAACGAAGCAGCTGGGATACCGAACCCAGTCAGAGCGGGTGGGTGTGCACTCAAGTGTAACGGCTGGCTCATTTGCAGATGCCCTCACG